CGGGGGCGGTGACAGACCCGGCCCCGGCACCGGCCCCGCCGCAGCAGCGCCCGCTGCGGGCAGCCCGGGCCCACCTTCCCCCGGCCGGCTCCGGGGGAGAAGCCGCTTCCCCGCTTGGAGCCCACCGTGGCCGGTGAGGCGGGGAAACTTCCCGAGGCGCGTTTAAGCCCACCTCGGCCGGAGCTGGCCCTCGGGCCCGGGAGGGCTGTGCCGGGCCCCCGAGGGCCCGCCGGCGTCCCCCGGCTCCAGGGCCGCTCGGGCAGCCCCTCCCGCGGCGGGACCGGAGGCTGCGGGGGCAGCTCCCCGCCACGCAAACGGGGATAAAGCGGGAGATAAGGGGACTGGGAACAGCCCCTGCCCCAGCCCCGCCTGCACCCCACTCCCATTACCTTAGCAACCGCGCCGCCGCCGCCGTCCCCCCCCCGCTTCGCCTCTCCTCAGGGCCGGGGGGGTGCCCGCACCATGGCGTGAGCCGGCGGGCGGGGCCGCCGGGCAGCCCCGCGCCTCTTCCAAAAGCCGGCCCTCGGGCCCGGGAGGGCTGTGCCGGGAAGCGCTGGGCCGGGCCCCCGAGGGCCCGCCGGCCTCCCCCGGCTCCGGGCCAAAATTCTCCGCGTTTCCAAGGTTCGGTGCCCACAGGCCGGACCTGCTTCTGAAGTTGAAACTCTTCCCAGCGAAGCTGCCAGCTCCGCAGGGAAAGGCGCCTTGCCCAACTTACGGAGCCCGTCTTTAAAGCCCCCGAGCAGTGACTGTATTTCCCCCCTTTCCCAACATCCCGGGGATTTACCTCAATCGGACGTTATCAAAAGCAGGTTGTGTTTGGCAAGGCTGCTGACAGACACCGGGAACCACCTTGCGTGGGGATGTCCCATCACCTTATGGCGGTGGCCTGCCCTGGCACGGTGACTTTCTGGTGATGACCAGTACAGGGAACTGCTGCAATAATTCAAACCGTAAACCAAAAATCATTTCTGGTGCAACTCGGCACCGCTCCCCTTTCTGCTGGATCTGTATCTCCATCTTTCTTTACCTTCTTTGGCTACTCCTTCCTTTGTCTTGCGAATGCCAGGTTCCAGGCCAGCAGTTTGCCCGTGCTCACGGCTTATAAAAGATTCTCCATCTACACAGACTCTCCATTTATTTCCTGATTTCTTGTCCAAAGAGTCTGCACTTCTGAAATGTCACAGGATATTTTTTCAATACCTTTTTTTCCAAAATAAAATTAATCTAAGAATATTTCCATTTATATCAAGTTTAAATTCAAACGGCTTATCATTTCCTTCAAATAAACCAAAGCCTGTTACACATTACTTGCCACACAACATTTTCAGGCAAAGGGGGAGGAAAAGGGTGGCTACCTCTGAAATGTAGATATTATTTTTTTCCCGAGATTTTCTCAGCAAAGCATTTCAAATCACTAGTTATATCAAGTTATGCTGGGCTATGACTTCATGTCTTACATCAGCTCTATTCAGGAAAAGCTGTTTCTCCTCTACACTACACAGTCCTTATTCTCCCGGCTGCCTCAAAGGAATGGACGTGCAGTACTTAACAGATCTAAGTGCCTAGATTTATCAGGTTAACTCAGACTAAAATGCAAATTCTATAGAAATGCCATTTTCCAAAATACAGGACTGATAGAGAACACTTCACCTGCATCTTAAAATTGCAATTCAAAGAAATTATGAATAAGGTTCCTGGCAGTGTCTCCAGGCTGAGTATTGCTGTACTACAGGAGCACACCGTGCTGAGGGAGAAAACCCACTGGGGACATCACAGCGAAAGTGACCACTCTGCTTTTTTCAGTCGTGCTCAACAGAAGTTGTAACCACAAAGTACAAATAAAAGCAAAAGGCAAGTGATAAACAAAAACAGTTTAAATGCTATTTCAGTTTTGGATAATATTTAATGTTTTATTTCCACATTTTATACTATAATCTTTGAAATTGATGAAATAAATGAATCTTTGTATAGTGGGCTCTCTTAGGTAACAGCTACTGTTTGCTTGTCCTCTTGGAAATGTTCTTCTATAAAGAAAAACCGCATAGCAGCGTTTTTTAATTTCATGCATTAACTACTGAAACAAATGATACATAATTAAAACCAAAAGAAACCAAGCCAGGGTTTTATTTGCATGGATCCTTACGCTGCGAACAAGGCAGTCAGACTTGGTTCATCACAGAGATCCTTTCTCAGTTTAACCTCTCTCCCAGCGGGAGAGTCCGGCAGTTTGATGAGTGTGATTAGAGATGCAGGAACAGTTCCATTTAGATCAGTGGGACATCTCCAGCTGATGTGGAACTAAGCACATACAGAAATGTTTGCGGAAAAAGGCCTTCCATCTGAAAGGCTTTGTTATACTGGGGAAGAATGAGTGACGAGGGACAGAGTTTTGTTGTCCCCTCTCTCCTGTCCTTTATGATGAAGTCTGAAAGCCAGAAGAGACCACCATGGCCCACACCAGATATAGAACATCACCTGTTGGTAATGATACATCACTAAAACCAAAAGAAGCCAAGTTAGATTTTCATTTTCCCTAACATTTACACTGAAAACATTTGGTGAGCTTTACTTTATCACAGAGGCTGATTTCAATGACAAAACCACACCTTTTAAAAGTTACCCTATCTTTTACCGAAGACTGCAGCAGCAGCCAACTTCTCCCCCCCCCCTAGTAATAATCTCCTGAAGTTGTATTATCCTTATTGCTGTAAAGAGGTCGTTTTATCACCTTTGAAAGATCCAACTTTCAACCGCTGCACACAGGGGCCATGACACTAGAGTTAGACACGCTCACAGGACCTGTGCTGACTCTCTTAATCACAGCTCAACTGTGGGAGGCTTCAGGGCATTTCACCAGCTTCTTCACATGGTGGAGAGAGTCACTGCACAGCATGTTCTCCTCTGATTGTCTGGAAAAAAAAAGATAGGGTAGATATGGTTAACTTCCTGCCAGGAGCATCCTCCTCTCCAGGTGCTTGAATAGAACTCTGAGAAGCAGAAGCCAGCACGGCCATGGTTGTTGCCGTGCTCTGAGGTAGGGCCAGCGCTTTCCTCTCAGTTTGCAAACCAAAAACAATGTTGATCCAATGTTGCCCCATAGCATTTACTTCATAAATATTCAACAGTTGTTAATTACGAGAAAAAACGGAGCTGCTGGCTCGAGGTGGGTGCCAAGACTTTACTAACCCGGTGCTTTCCCCCCACGAAGGCAGTAAAGTGGAGTAAGTGCCTCTGTCTGTCTGAGTGCATGAAAAAGCAAAGAGGTTTTCAGAGTTGTTCAAGGTAGGTTCTATTTTTCATAAAATGTTTAATTTAACAGTGACCTAGTTTTACAACAGCTTTCAGTGTCTTGGCTTTTCTTATCTCCTGTGTCTTAGCCTACATCATTAAAACAACAGAGCAATAGGCTTTACAGACTTTGTTAAAGCAAACTAAATAAGACTTTAGCTGGTGGATTAATTCTTCTCTCCTATTTTGTTTCAGGCACTCGCCATGGCATGGTTTCTTTGTAGTTTTAAGGAGGTTTTAGCACATCTTTTATGTCACATATTGTAGATATTTTTTTTTAAATGTCAGCTCAAAGCCCTTTGCTTATTTCATGGTACATTTTTGAGTATCAGGCTGTAGCAGAATTCCTCAGATTTCTTACAGAAGGATCCTTTGTTTTGTAAACATTCAAGTAACTGTATGGAATCACTGGCCAGATTGACTAGCAAATTTGGAATTTTACAAGCAGTACAGACTCATGCTAGCATTCAGCAGGAGCAAGCTGTGGGGTACTGCTAATTTTGCCTACCTTACTTCACCTGCCTGGAGCTTCAGAAGTAAAAAGTTATTCTCCGTCTTGTCGTTGCAACAAATAACTGGCAGGTCAAGAGATGTTCACTCTTTCTTTTGCTGTGCACTACATACAGTGCTCTCAGCTACCGTTTCATGGTACCCCCTCCCTGATTCCCTGCTTGTCTTTATGAAAGTAGGCTTTAAAAACTACTAATGCTCTATTGTGTGTGCTAAGTTCCACGTGGATTCAGCAGAAAAAGAAGTAATTAAAAAAAACCTGTTGATTTCAGCCATGCAGGTGTAAATTAGGTCTGCGGAAAGATGCCTCTTC